AAGCAAAACTTTTTTTCTGAAAAAAATGTTCAATTTTGAAATTTCAAAAAAAAATCATATACTAAAAGATCTGGAAGGTCATGAGATTTCTCCTCAAGGTAATTAATCATTCGCCATAACTTACTGATCGATCTGTACCCTCATCTCTGGCATCTGATACACTGTTTTCCATGACATTGGGAAGTTCCTGCCATCAAAGTTAAAACTGTGGGGCCCCTTCCAGGCATGGTTGAATGTAGCAATGTGAGAGTTCCATGTTTTAGTCATGGCACCTCTCACTCTGGAGCAGCGAATGAGAGAGAAAATGGGCACGAGATGTAGCCAGGTCACCTCTCCTTGCTCTTGCATTGGCTCAGGAAACTGCTCGAATCAAGAGCCTTCACTGGGCCTGTTTCCTAAACTCCCTCCTCCCACCTCCATTCAGTGTCTGTGCTCACATGCATACAGTCGTGGGCCGAGCACAGAGGTGTGAGGACCAGCGTGGCCTTCTCTCTGCCTCTAAACACACTCCTCATCCTCCTCAGGTGTGTGCTAATCCCATCACCCACAGACAGCGTCCCTGAAAGGCCACATCTCTGTCATGCATGACTTTGCATTCCTGGCACTGGGTCTTATGAAGGATTTGAAAGCTTTTTTTGGTGCATCCTTACAAGAGTTTCTTCCTGAGTAAGCAGTTTCAGGATGCACTTTCCTGGTATTTCTTGAGATGTAAGTACTTACATGGTCCCATTGTAATCTAAGCGTCACGGAATTTGAAGCGCTGAGCACAGCAGAGCTCCAATCATCTGCACAAGAGATGTTGAATAATCCATCGCTATCTCACCAAGTAAAACAAAACCAGATCTAGACCTGTGCCACAATTCTCTCTAGTGTCTCCTTTGGTCTTAAAACATACGAAATATTAGCTGATGTTCTTATTGGGAAATATTTTATTTACCTTAAATGACATGCGGAACATCGTGACTTATTCATGACCAAAGAAGCCAAAGTTTTGATTAAAGCTATTTCCTGAGCCACTATGTGCCACCCCAACATATATCTTCTAAATTGCGAAACAAACATAACATCATCTGCCTCTGTTGATCATATTCAAGGGTTTTTGTGGTCAAACAAAGCTTTACCTTCAAAAGAAAGGAATCTGTTTTTTAAACGCTTTTTCAAGTTGTTCCCATACATGAATACACTTTTGTGGATGCATACACTTTTGAAATAGCTCCCATCCTGCACATGCTCTTGTAAGACTGTCCCTTCGCTATCCTGGCCACCACCCCACAGAGGACATAGGGAAATGCACAAACTACCATGGAGACATTTTCCTCCTATCCTGACACGTACCCTTTACCTACCATGCCACATGCCTGCCTTTCTCTGAGGAGGATTTATGCCTTCCACCCCTCATCGCCTCAGTCACCACGATTGCATTGCTCAAAGCATTGGGTCAACTGTTGTTACTGACCATTAGCATTTAAGGATTCAGGATGGCCAGTTGTCTGCCCCAGTATCCCACCTTTCTTCCACCTGCTGCCCATTCCTTTCCCCCCTTTAACCCATTGTCTGTGATCAGCAAGATCCCCTGTATGCATTCCCCACCCCTTCTTCTTGCTCTGACGTTGGGCTATCCCCGAACATATGCTCCCTACACCCCTCTCAAGAGGTGGCTGTTTCATTTCCCATCCCCTTCCTCAGGAAAAAAAAAAAAAAAAAAAAAACAGCATTTGTGAAGTACCCTCACCCTAGCAGCCTACGACCATTTTAGGATCTGCAGCTACCAACTAGTTTTCATTCTCCATCTCCTCAACATTCACACTTTCCTTTGTCCCAGGCTTAGATTCCATGGCTTCCAAGGCATTCTATTTGCACTCCCTGTCTCCTTCCAGGTTACCTTCCTGACCACCCCCCATCCAATTCAGTCAACTCCACTCCTGCCACAGGGCAGCTGAATTTGGCTGGAGAAAAATAAGCAATGATGCTGACCTCTGGTCTCATTGTAAATTCATCGCCACATGCCTTAAGTCGCCTCTCAGCATTCTGGCTGCCAGACCACCTGGCCATGGTCAACGTGCCCCCCACTTACCTCAAGAACCATTTCACACCTTCCCTCCGTCCTCTCTTTTGTTGCCTTCCTCCTCTCTTCCCCTCCTCCCTTTTATTCTCTAAGCTCCAACTCTTCCTCATGCTCCACTGCTGACTTCACTTCTCACTCCACCCAGAGAATATGCAAGAAAACACAAAAGAATGTCTTCATCCTCCCGCCACCAAATCCACTCTCTTCTTGCTACATCTGTGACCACACAGCATGGCCCACTAGTCCGTTGTTCCCAAATCCTCTCAACACTTCTCCCTGAAATTCACTGCAACTTATTGCTTCCTCTGTGGTATCACCGGCTCTTCCCTCCTCTCTGTTGAGTCACTCCCTAGGACAAATAAACTGCTGGGTCTCTCCAGGCGATCTATGAAAACATCTCTTCGTCACTCAGTCTCTCCAGGCTCCATTTCTCCACTCCCCTTAACAATGAAACCTTGTCAACGGTGGTCTGTGCTCACCCTTCTCCTTCATCAATGCTCATTATCTTTGGAGCCTGCTCCACTTAATGTTTGCCAACCTGACCAAAGAAAGTGCTTTTGCCCCAGTCATAATGGCTTCCATGTTCCCCAGGCCAGTGGCCGGTTCCTGCCTATCATCCAGTTGGTCTTCTCTATGCATCAGCTTTCCTGCTCTTGCTTGATCTCACACCCTCTTGATCCTCCTCGGGCTCTCTTTGTCCCTTCCCAGCCTCCTCCAAATCTTTTCCTGCTTTTCACACCCTCTAAACACTAGACTGTCCCAGAGCTCAGCCATGTGTCCCCTGTTTTCTTCCAATATTTGCATTCACATTTGTATCCATTCTCCTTGTTTCAAATAACGTGTCTATGCTCAACTCCAAAACTTTACCTCCAGCCCTGACATCATTCTTCAAACCCTGATCTGCAGAGTTTTCTGCAAATTTCTGCTTTATTTTCTATCTTCTCTTTCATGTCCAACAGACATCTCTACCCAACTTGTCCCAAATGGCAGTACTGGTATCACCACCTAAAGCTACTTCTCTCCCAGTATTCCTTTTGTCAGGAAACGGAACTTCCAGTACCCTGTTGTTCACATCAGAAACACTGGGGTAGAGCGTGGCTCCCCTCTCCTACACCCAATAGCCAAGTCGTCAGCAAATCCTCCAACACAGATGCTGCATCTGACCGTTGCCCATCATCAGCCGCTATCCAAGCCAGGGTTGTGTCTCCCTCGTCCAATGGATAGCCTCTTCCTTGGCCTCCCTCCTTCTGTTCTAGACTCTCAGAAGACTTCTTATCTTTCTGGAGCCCCTTGATCACTCCTCAGCCACAGGGACTTCCAGTGGATCTCACATGTCTTAGCCCATCACATCTTTCCTTCCCTTGGCTTGGAAACCCCAGCCTGTGTCTTTGGTATCTGTCCCCTTATCATCCTCCAGGTCCCTGCTGCAATGCTAAGTGGTCCCAGAGTAACACACATTCCATAAACATATTCTGTAAACTAACCACAGCAGCACACTCCACCAGTAGTCCTTGATCCCCTAACCTAGCTTTATGTCTCCTTTCAGATACTTACAAGTACGCCACATGGTGGTGTTAATATTTCTTTACCTGCTTAGTGTTTGACTTAGCTGGCCCATTAACTGTCTCAGGCTCACTAAGATGGGATAACAATAGCATCGAGCCTACGAGATTGTTGAGAAAATGTTGCCTTGTAGTAAAGCTAGTGCTAGGTAAGTGCTAGATAATAGCACACTTCTCACCTTGGCTGTTTCCTACCAGCCAAACAGATAGGAATAAGAATTAGATAAACAAAGACACAAATACTGAAATGAGTATGAATTTTGTTCTTCATTAACTTCCCTCTATTTACGCTCGCACTGATTCTTCATAGTACATTGAGTCCCTTAAAAGTCTAAATATAACCAGAAACAGAAAAAGCCAGAAGCGTTGAAGTGGCTGCCTCTGTGAAGCAGGAGCGGGGGTGAGGCAGGTGTCTGCTTTTCTTTGTTGTAGGTTTAGTGCCCTTTGACGTATGACTTTGATGCAAATGAATTTAAAATGATGCAAATTGAATTTGAAAAAAGAGGAAACGCTGGGAAGACACACATGAACATGAGCTCATGCCAGGGTGAGGGAGGGTGGAGTTACTGGCAATTTTTTCTCTTCTTTTTCCTTTCTAAATTCACAAAATATGATCTACAATGTATTTATTTGGCTTTTATAACGAAAAAAATGGTATATGTGCATTTTAGTATATTAACTATTAGAAGGCTTCATGGAAGATTCATTGGTAGGACACATTTCGAATATGCTGTAAAGCGAAAAATATTGTTCCTGGGTTAAAGCAGAGAACGTACCTATGTGGGTGTGAAGACACAGTGACAGTCATGCTCCTGAGCAGGTGGGCTTGGGGCGTTTGTGGCCAAGGAGGTCTGAAACAAAAACAGGGAGCTCCCCTGGAAGGAAAGAGGCTTCTTGGCATCATGGTTGCTAACTGATTGGCCCTCGGGGATAAAAAAGAGCAAATGCTTTTGGAAGACTTCAAGGCAGTTGAAAAGAGGGCCAAACAGACCCGGAACCAGGTAGGTAAAGATGAGACAGTTTCAGGGTCATCTAACACTTTGAGCATCGTGTTTTCATTTAAATAAAATCTTCTGGCCAAAGCAGGTTTGCAAAGAGGCCATTTATTCAACATCTCGGGAGGAAAGCAAGCCATAAAAGCAGCCCTTCCCCCATGTCAGTCCGTCTGGAGGGAGCGGGGGGGGGGGGGGGGGGGACTCTCTGTTCACACTTATCTTTCTGAACCTTGATGGTTGACCGAGCAAGGCTCAGTGATCTCTTTTGACAGACTGTAGAAATGTTTTGCAAAATCGAATGCTTGGAACCTCAAAATGGGAGGCGATGAAGAATCATTCCACCTCCCCCACTTAACAGGGGCGTGCTGTCTATTACAGGATGGATGGTCCCAGTATCACTTTGTAGCCTCATCTTCAACCATCGAGAGGGATCGGCAAAGGCCCTACTCTTCCTCTCGCACGCCCTCCATCTCCCCTGTGCGTGTGTCTCCCAACAACCGCTCAGGTAAGAGACCCCTGCAGCCAGCCAGGCCTGATGGCCCTCCTTCCCACCCCTCAGCCGACCCCCACGGAGGGCGAGCCGTCCCCACTTGGACGTTTGCTACAAATATGAAATGAGTTCTGTTTTCTTTCAGAGCAGTGGTGACTTTGTGTTATGTTTACACAGACTCAGAATAGATTTCAAAAAGTCTCTAACAGGTGTTAGACGTGCATTCAGTGAGCAAAAAGAATAAAGACAGCTGTCAGATGTTTGCAGAGCAGGGTTTTCTATGGACCTTTATCCAACTTGAAATAGTCTGAGTTACACTGTATTGATTATAACTTGAATAGCAGAGTAGTGGAGAAAGGGCTTGCTATTTCTTGTTCTAGGATGACATACATTTGAATATCCCATTGAGGGTTTCCTTACTCCTCCATATCTGATTAGCCTGTTATTATTACCTTTAAACCAGCCGGTAAATGATTGATAAAGTCTTATTACAACAAAACCATAACTTTTAAGTCACTCAATTTAATTGTTTTTCTAATTTTGTCACATTTCTATTGCTTGAATTTTGAACTAACTACTATCATTTACTTGTAAAGATACTTTATACCCTTTTACAGTCACATTATATATGGCCTAAGATTAAGGATAAAATTAAAAGTGAAATATGAGCACATCATTTAATCTATAAGTGACATAGCCTTTATTGTTTTTACTCAAAGTGTAAGCTTAATTTTTGTTTATTTCTGCATTTGGGTTTTGTTGTAAGAAGGAAACATGGATGAATAATTATATGTATATGTATATACGCAAACACGCACACACACGCGCGCACACACAGACACGGACACACAGCTGTACAGGCTGTTATTTAAGAGTTTCTCCTTGCTCTTTGCTGCTGTTGCCCTGCTGAGGAGCTACGAGACCTGCATCTCAGAGGGCATGGTGGGAGAGCGCTCCTCTGCCCTTGAGACCACTTGCTGTAAAACTTTACACTGCACTTTACTGTCAGAATGATGAGGAAAATCAGACATGAATGGGGAGTATTTGACTGAGATAAATTACTCTCTCCCAGCCCCATGAAGGCTTCTATTTTCAGTGTGGTGTTACTGCTACTAACTTTTAGTCCCCACTAGGTGAGAATCAGAAACCACCGTGTGACTAGAAACTTCCTCCTGCCTCGGAAGCACAGGGATGGCCTTTTACGTGTATTGCCTCCATACATCCTTGTTTTTATGGTTTGTTTATTTTTTGAGAGAAAGAGAGAGAGCATGAGCAGGGGAGGGGCAAAAAGGGGGGACAGCGGATCTGAAACGGGCTCTGCACTGACAGCAGAGAGCCCGACGTAGGTCCTGAGATCAGGACCTGAGCTCACATTGGATGCTTGGCCGACTGAGCCACCAAGGCACCCCTTACCTCCATATGTCTTAAAAAGATAAAGACCAGTGAGTCTGAGAAGCACAAGGATGGGTTCTCTCTAAAGCCCTAACTATGAAGAGCCCATCAGCGTTAGGAAGAGGAAACGGCATAATGGATTGGAAGATGCCTGGAAGGAAACGCACTGGGCTATCAAGACGCTATCCCAGCCATTCAGCGAGGGCGCCACCCAGTATTTCCCAGTGAGGCACATCGAAGACACCTGGTAAACACTTGCATGATTAGATTTTTCCAGGAGTATAATCTTAGTTTACTAGAGACTCGGACCACTGTGTGTGAGGTCTTGAGAGATAATGACACACTTGACATAGTTTAATAAACCCACCATCTGCACCGTAGTAGATGCTAATATCAAGAGCTTTGGTCAAGAGCCTCCAAAATATTGTCCCTTCGTGGTTTCCTGACAGTGACTCGTAAAAGACTAGCCTTTATGCAGGAAGATCTAGAAGCAACAGAGCAAAGGCAAGGAAAGGACTCTCCCAGGAGGGATGACAGAGAACAGAAGATAGGGGAGGGGCAGAGGTGGAGGAGGCGAGTAAGACACAGTGGCTGAAGTTCTGAGAACATCCAGGAGCTGGAGACACACAGTCTAGTCACGTTATGTAGAGCAAACACCATTTTCTTCCCTGCCTCCCCAATAGACTTAACACCCAGAGATCCAGAAATTCTGATCCACCAAGTTCTGGGAGGGGCTCAAGTATATCACTATTTTTTTAAGTTTATGTATTTTGAGAGATAGAGAGAGGTTGAGAGAGAATGCGAGCAGGGAAGGGGCAGAGGGAGAGGGAGAGAGAGAATCCTAAGCAGACTTCACACTGTCAGCACAGAGCCCAGGGTGGGGCTCAGTCTCACAAACCATGAGATCATGACCTGAGCCGAAATCAAGAGGCAGACACTTAACCAACTGGGCCACCCAGGTGCCCCTCAAGTATCAGTATTTTTGAAAGTATTCCAAGGATTTAATTCTAATGAGAAGCCAGGATTTAGAACCTCTCAGCGTTTTGAGAGCTGAGCAGTGAGCCTCGACTTTTGTTTGGATAGGTTTGAGAAGTAGGCAGGGTGCCTCTCAGGAAAGGATGAGCAAAGGCCCCCTCTGGTTCTCTCCTTGGCATTTGGCTGTGGCGTCTGCTAAGCACTCTGCCTCTGGTCCTGGTTTATTTGCATGTCTGTTTCCTGACCTCCTGTTCAGAAAGTGACATGATTCATGTTTCTGTTCCCAGTGGCTGGCAGAGGGATTTGCCCATAGGAGATACTAAGCCTGATGAAATGCATCAAGTGGCTCAGACACTGAAAAGAATTGAGGGAGCAGGCAGGCCCAGCGGGCAGGAGCTGAGGGACCCTACAGGGGGTGTGAATGATGAGCTGAAAGGTAAACTGAGGTTTGACTGGAAGAGGCTTGGATATTGGCAAAGAGGGCTTTCTCCAAAAAACTCAAGAGTTCCCCAGAGTTCTCCTAGCCTTAATAATTACCAGGTATGCTCATTAAATATGGACTCCTAGACCCATCCACTGAACGTTCATATTCAGAGGGTCCAGGGCGGGGTCCTGGAATCCCTGAATTCTAGATGAGTCTTAAGGTTAAACAAGTTTAGGAAGCACTGTCCTGGAGCATGGGGTCAGGGGACAGATCTGGGGCAGAAGACTACCACATCTGAGCTGTATGGAGATAGGGGCAGTTGACTGAGCTATAGACATGTGTGGTGTCACTGAGGAGCACAGCCAGCGGCGGCCTCACTGCGGCACACGATGCACTAAGGCCTGCATTCTTCCAACCCGTCTCGGCACTGGCAGAGCTGTGTACTTGCTACCAATCCATTCAATCCTTTAAGATATCTAAACCTCTTTCTGTTTGCTCCTTTACCTCCAAGTTCAGTTTCTCTTGTCTTCTGAGGGCACTTTAAAAAATCATGGACTTCCCAGGGGGGTCCTTTAATTACAACCCATCGTTTTAGAAATGGAGACACAAAGAAAGGACAGGGCTCATTCCCTGAGTCCGCGGTGCAAGGTGTAGGTGGGAAATTGCTGTGGACATTGGTCAAGGTTGGCTCATCGGGAAATGGGAAATGGGCTCTCTGCTCACCCCTGCCCCAGCCCACCTCACAGGCTGATCTGTGGAAGTTGGATTATGCCAGCCCCACACAACATCCTAGCTGCTTCCTCTGGCTTCCTTTAGGATAGTTTTGGAGTCGCTCTGCGTTTAAGTGAAACTGCATTTATTTTAATCAGGGATTCTTCAGTACCAGTAATAGCTCCTCTGAAACACACCTAGTTTTTAAAAAGGAAGAAAGGAAGAAAAGAAGGAAGAGGGGAAGGAAAAGAAAGGAAGGAGATGGGGAGGGAGGGAAGAGGAAGGAAAAATGAGAGAAGGAAGGAAGGAAGGAAGAGAGGGAGAGAGAGAGAGAGAGAGAAAGAAAGAAAAAGAAAGAAAGAAAGAAAGAAAGAAAGAAAGAAAGAAAGAAAGAAAGAAAGAAAGAAAGAAAGAAAGAAAGAAAGAAAACAAGCCTGATCTCATTCTGAAAACTGTCCCTTGCACCTTAGGTGGGTCATGTCCCCATCAGGATGTCTTTCTAAGAAAGATGGCCCCAGGAGATAGCTGTTAATGACCTGCCCCCAAGCTGTGTGCTCCCATAACTATAAAGCACCAGATGACAAGGATGAGGGGCGGGAGTAAAGACAGGAGCCAAAAAAACACAAATCAGCAGGTCCATCCACAGTAGGTTGAGCTACGTGTCTTCAGGACCTTAGCTGTTGGTGTGAAGAGCTCTCCATGCTGCGTAATGAGACACACAAAGTCTTCCTTTTGATTTCTTTATGTAGCAAGTGCCCCAGCTTCACCTCGGGAAATGATCAGCCTCAAGGAAAGGAAAACAGACTATGAATCCACTGGCAGCAATGCCACTTACCACGGGACTAAAGGAGAACACACTTCCAGGAAAGACACCATGACAGGTGAGCTCAGCTTTGCGCGTATCCTCCTCAGAGCCGGTGACTTGATCTGGGACAGGGCCAAAGGCCGGGACGTGAGACTTCAAGCCATGCTCGGCCGCTCAGCAGGACTTAGCAGCTAGAGGGTCACTTGAGAGCTTGACAGCAAGGATTCTCGGGAACTGGGACAAGGAGATTAAGCCAGAGAAATAAAAACTGAGCATGTTATATACCTGAAAATAACTAAGAGAAAATGTTCTCTACGCACATTTTATTCTCATTCTTCACCTACTCCTTTCCTTCTCATCTGCTCGGCCCATAATATTCCTGCAAACGAGAGAGGGGAGTCACCATAGATTTGCTTCTTAGCTGACATAATCCAGAGTGGAAAGGACCCAAGATGATAGCCACGGTTTGCTATTCTCAATAGACGGAAGGGAAAATGGATAAGAAAAGAAGGGGAAGAGAGGAAGGGGGAGGGGAATAAAGAAAGGGATTTCAGTGAAACCCTCAGATCTCCTGTTGAGACCTTTTCTCTTCTTGACCTGAAACCAATCTCTTATCATGACAAATTTCCAAGAAGATTCATTAGAGCTAATCATCACACTTTCTGTACAGAGTCATTGATCTTTTCTGCCCTTTATCCCCCACTACCCTAATCATACCCATTGTCTCTCCTTTCTCATCAGCTGGGACTCCATCAAGGCCAAAATTGGTGCCCAGCACCACCCATCCAGCAGGTGCTGCCTGGCCTTTCTCATAACCAGCTTCGTTGACCTTAACTCCCCTTCTACTCTCAACAAGTTTCCTTGGGGTAGGGTTGCTGTTCCCATTCATCACCCCTTCCAGGCTCTCCAGACACTTCCCCTGCCCTGGTTTTCCCCTCCCCCAAGAAACAGGACTTGGAGGTGCTGCTGTAGAGGTTGTGCCTTGAAAGTGAAACTTCCAGAGCCATCAGGATCATCAGGATCCCTAACAGGAATTCCACACCCTTTTTTGACACATGGACGGGGAGATGGATCCCTCTTGAAAATAGGCTGTGAGGAACATGGCCAGATGAGGCCATACCTAAAACTGGGGTATAAAGGGAAAACTCCTAAACACTGAGACCTTCTTATCAAGAGGATCTTCAAAGCATGAGTTTCTCAGATATTATTTAAGTGTAGACCTGCAGGGAAGCAGAAGAGACAAATTGGATGATTTATTAAGATGTCTTCTCAACCCAGGCCATCTAAGATAAATTTTTCCAATGGTAAATGCACTTATCCCAGAGGCAGTGTTTTCCGCGGTAACTCTGCATGACTGCAAAAAAGAAAAGCAGAGTAAACAGATGTTCCCAATGCAACCCCCCAGGTCAGCACTCTGCCTACAAGTACAGTCCTTGCCAGGGAACGTGTCAGCCTTATGCCTGAACTCGTTATGCAGGATATACCTTCTTGTTCTTACTCGCTGCTTTTCCCACCTTAAGTATTGGTCCAGTTGAAGATGAGCATGAACAAAGAAAGTTCCAAATCTGAATGCTGAGGCCCTAGAGCCAACACATTCAGCAGAGAATCTAATTTGTACCAATTACTCTGGAGTAGTGACGCCAAATTCACTTGCCCCATTCGTTTTGTGGCTACTATTGCCCTAGGTAGCCACATCACTGGCCATCTGAGATGACCAACTGAGATTAGAATTAAAAGAATAATTGTGAAATTGACTGTATTTAATTTATTTAATTTTCCTTTCTTGCCCAGTAGAATTATTCAAAAGGCTTTTTTAGGGGTGCCTGGGTGGCTCAGTTGGTTAAGCAGCCAACTTCAGTTCAGGTCATGATCTCACGGTTCGTGGGTTCGAGCCCCGCGTCGGGCTCTGTGCTGACAGCCAGCTCAGAGCCTGGAGCCTGTTTCAGATTCTGTATCTCCCTCTCTCTCTGTCCCTCCCATACTCATGCTGTCTCTGTCTCTCTCAGAAATAAATAAAACATTTAAAAAAGGAAAAAAAGCTTTTAAAAAATGTTTATTTATTTATTTTGAGAGAGAAAGAGAGAGCTCAAGAGCAGAGAAAGAGCAGAGGGAGAGGGAGAGAGAAAGAATCCCAAGTAGACTCCATGCAGTCAGTGCAGAGCCCGACGCAGGGCTCCATCTCACCAACTGTGAGATCATGATCTGAGCCTAAATCAAGAGTCAGACACTTAACCAACTGAGCCATGCAGGCGCCCTTCAAAAGGCTTTTAAATGGGGGTGATTTTAGGTTGAAATATTTCCAATGGTCCATAATCATGCCCTGCACACACATTAAAATACAAAATAAAATCTAACATGTTTCTAGATGTTTCATCTTCCTAGAAATTGGCAGGGCTCTTGATAATTCCAGTATTGAGATATATGTAATTGTTCAAAACTATTTAAGACGCCTAAACTTAAACTTCACATTAACTTACTTTAATAAACAATTCAAAAATACACTATCAATCATCTAGCAGGCCTAGAAGAACAGAGTTCTTTACTGAATAATGTTTATACAAGATGGCTCCCTTTAAGCCAAGTTCTATGTAAAGATCAGTTGCTATTATCTACAGTGATGGTGGTAGTGATGGTGGTGGTGGTGGTGGAGGTGGTGGTGGAGGTGGAGGTGATGGAGATGGAGAAGGAGGTGATGGAGGAGGTGATGATGGTGGTGATGGTGGGATGGAGGTGGTGATGATAGAGGTGGTGATGGTGGTGACACAGGAGATGATGATGGTAGAGGAGGTGGTGGTGGAGGAGGTGATGATGGAAGGATGGAAAAGGCAACGATGGTGGTGATGGTGGAGGTGGTGATGACAGAGGCAGTAATGGTAGTGACAGAGGAGATGGTGATGGTGAAGGTAGTGATGGTGGAGGTGGAGGAGGTGATGATAGAGGCTTTAATGGTGGAGGCAATGATAATGGTGACACAGGAGATGTTGATGGTGGAGGTGGTGGTGCTGATGGAGGAGGTGGTGGTGGTAAGGGATGGTGGAGGAGTGGTGGATGGAAGCGGTATTACTTACCACCCTCCACAGTGCCATGACTAAATCCCTGTCAGGCCAGGTGGGGGCCAAGCTTTCATGGAGGAATGGAAAGGACAAATGGCCAGCCCTTGCTCTACAGCACTTTTGCTTGTAACCATCATTTCAGCGTTCACCTGCAGGTCACATCTCTTGTGACCTCCACATCAAGAGCAATACTTTTTCTCATTCACAAATCCAGGGGACACTTAAAGTATCGTACATTGAAAAATATCTGAGAAACTGCCATCTCCCTTGTTTCTAAGACCTCAGAGCCTGTCCCACCATTTCCCCCATAGAAAACACCCCCTCCACCATACGAAGATCATGGGAAGCTTCACCCTCAAAATGCAACATGGGACAGCTTAAAATGAAGCAGGTCCTTGCCTGGGTTCAAATCTCCTCTACTGAGCCCTTAGGAATGCAGATCCTTCTAGGTTTTTGTGCCAGCCTCCCCCCACCCACCTTTTCTGGATTCGTTATCTAGCTGAGATGGAGTCTTTTAAAATGTCTTCTCCCTTAGTGTTCTTTTGCCACTGACGAGCCCGCAGAAAGCCAACGTCAGCTCTTCATTCAAGCATGCAGACGGTTATAGCTATTTCTTGCGGTCATGATTCCCTAGGAACATTATGTGTTCAGAAGCATGCATTAGAGGAGGGCTCTGTGATGCCAGCAGCTACATGGCCTGACTTTAAAATTCACCCAGGGGGTTTTGCCCTCCTGTCTGAGCTTCCCAAATGCCTTTACATCAAGCAGTCGAGCCCGTTTTTGTCAGTGTCTCTCTTACGCCTTTTTAAAGCCATTCTAATCTTCAATATGTTGATTCAGTTGGAAATTGGGGCCTATCCAAAAAAAGAAAGGCATTTCTTCATGAGTATGCTCTTGGGTCAGACATGCAAGGGCAGAGAACCTGTGAAGACCTCTGTTTCGTATGTCTGCAGAAGCTCCAAGTTCAATCTCAGCTACATAGCCTCCTATAAACAGGTGAGGTGGACCGAAGAGCAGGAGGAAATAACTTCCAGTAGGAACATCTTCAGCTCAGAAGCCACAAACTTGACAAGAAGGGGAGCAAGGAGAGTAAGAGTGCATGACCCCCCCCCCCCGTTAAAAAATGCACTTTGTGGGGTGCCTGGGTGGCTTAGTCGGTTAAGCGTCCGACTTTCGCTTAGGTCTTGATCTCGCGGTTCGTGGGTTCGAGCCCCGCGTCGGGCTCTGTGCTGACTGCCAGCTCAGAGCCTGGAGCCTGTTTCCGTCTGTGACTCCCTCTCTCTCTGACCCTCCCCTGCTCACGCCGTCTCTCTCTCTCTCCTAGAAATAAATAAAACATTAAAAAAAAATTTTTTAAAAATGCACTTTGTTCTGAGTACCAGGAAAAAACATTGCACCTTGGTGTGACATTTTCCACCTGCAAACCATAGCTCTGAGGGCATATTTGCTCAGGGTACTCATTCATGTATGGTGTGAGACAATGATCTAGTTTCATTCTTCTGCATGTTGCTGTCCAGTTCTCCCAGCACCGTCTGTTAAAGAGGCTGTCTTTTTTCCACTGGATATTCTTTCCTGCTTTGTCAAAAGTTAGTTGGCTGTACATTTTGAGGTCCAATTCTGAGTTCTCTATGCTATTCCATAGGTCTATGTGTCTGTTTTTGTGCCAATACCATGCTGTCTTGATGAAGACAGCTTTGTAGTAGAGGCTAAAGTCTGGGATGGTGATACCTCCCGTTTTGGTTTTCTTCTTCAATATTACTTTGGCTATTCGGGGTCTTTTGTGGTTCCAAACAAATTTTAGGATAGTTTAATAAAGATATGAGAAGAATGCTAATGCAATTTTGATTGGGATTGCACTGAATGTGTAGATTGCTTTGGGTAGTAATGACATCTTAACTATATTTATTCTTCCTATCCATGAGCATGGAATGTCTTTCCATTTCTTTGTGTCTTCTTCAATTTCCTTCATAAGTTTTCTATAGTTTTCATCATACAGATCTCTTATATCCTTGGTTAGGTTTATTCCTAGGTATTTTATGGTTTTTTTGTGCAATTGTGAATGGGATCCGTTTCTTGATTTCTCTTTCTGTTGCTTCATTGTTGGTGTATAAAAATGCAACCGATTTCTGTAAGTTGATTTTGTATCCTGCAACTTGGCTGAATTCATGGATCAGTTCTAGTAGGCTTCTGGTGGAGTCTGTCAGGTTTTCTATGTAGGGTATCATGTTGTCTGCGAAAAGTGAAAGTTTGACTTCTTTGCCAATTCTGATGCCTTTGATTTCCTTTTGCTGCCTGATGGCTGATGCTAGGACTTCCAGCACTATGTTAAACAACCGTGGTGAGAGTGGACATCCCTGTCGTGTTCCTGATCTCAGGGGGAAAGCTCTCAGTTTTTCCCCGTTGACGATGATGTTAGCTGAGGGCTTCTCATAGATGGCTTTGATGATGTTTAAGTAAGTTCCTTCTATCCCGACTTTCTCAAGGGTCTTTATTAAGAAGGGATGCTGTATGTTGTCAAATGCTTTTTCTGCATCTATTGACAAGATCATGTTTTTTATCTTTTCTTTTGTTGATGTGATGGATCACATTGATTGATTTGCAAATATTGAACCAGCCCTGTAACCTCATTCGTTTGTTCACTTGGCAAATAAAGCACTTGCTCCAGGAACATCCACTGAGTCCAAGCACCGTCCCAGATGCGGGGGTAACAAGTTCTGGCCCCACGGCGTTTCTGCTGTCGCAGCAAAGGGAGGTGATACACAAGGTAGACACCAGAACCAGCTCACCCACAAGCTAGGACCACGTGGTGTGTTGAGTGTGATGGGGAAAATTAACGGGTTCAGAAGCCACAGGGTGCTGAGTGGGTGGGGTTGCTTTCACAAGGCTGAGATGGAGACTAAACTAAACTCCCTGCCACCGACAAAGTGAGGCAATAAGGAGTTGGAAGAAGAGAGTCCCAGGGAGAAGGATCAGCCAGCACAACATCCCAGAAGCAAAACAAACTGCTGCATGTTCGAGCGTGGAAAGAGGGCCAGCATAGCTGGGGCTTCCTTGACAAGAGAAGCATGGAGGGAGACACTGCGGAAAATCGGACAGGGCCCTGGTCATGCAGCTTTTGCCAGAACCACCTTGGCGGGGCGCTGCAGTGACATAATCCAGCCCGTCAGGCAAGATGGCACCGCTCTTGGGAACAGGGAGGGTGGAAGAGCAGCGTTGGGTGTGGCGGAAGCTGGGCTGTCAAGGAAGATTCTACAGCAGGGATCTAGGCAGAAGTAGAGAGAGAGAGGAGTGTCGTGCACCCAGCCAGAGAATGTGTCAGGGTGGTCTTTACAATTTAGAACGGGCTCTCAGCTCTCACTTCTGAAGCTGAATTTCCAAAGAAGACCTTTACTGCACAGCTGTTTTGTGCTTTTAGTAATAGTCATGGGTGGGGTGATAGCTACTACTGCCTTTGTGTCTAGAGTAGCTCTACCTGCGAGAGAACAGTGATGGTGTGTCATCCCATTTTATCATTCCATAGGTACAGGAAACTAAAGAAATGCTTTTCTTTATTTCTAAACTGTTTTATACCCCAGTGATGCTTGCTAATTTTTTCCAGAGCTTTCTTAAACCATGACCTTTTAAGGGCTATGAGGGGAGTGGTGCCTGGGGCCCTTTCTCTGGGCCTGAGGCATGAGCCCTGAGGGTTCTAGGAGGGCCCTAGGTGAGGAAGTGGGCAAATCCTGCCTGTGCCTTTGGAAGCTGCTGGCGACTGGAGGAGACCTTCCTTCCCTTCGACAAGACCACAGGCTAGTCACAAGACATGCAAGGGGCTCCAGTCCTGTGTCCATTGGGCTCCACAGCTACAACCTCCCAGAAGCTCAGGGCAGAGGCGGATGATGCTTGGGGCCTTTGAGAACCAAACTGTCTGTGGGAGGGGGATTAAGCACTCTGCGAGGCCAAATTAGACATTTCATTCCTGTCATTCTCCAGCTCAGACCGAAGCTGCTCACACAGATCCCTGCGTACTTCTGTGTGGGAGACAAGCCTTTATTACCCGCAGGGTCTCACCAGAGAAGAAGGCAATCACCCTGGCAAGATGACCGTCTGTTTGCGGCCCCTGCCCTGACCTTGTCTACAGTCTGAATGTTATTGCAAGAAACCCACATGCTATAGGGATTATATAGAATCACTGTTGGTCTTTCTTTATATCTGCATGTAAAGTGAAGTGTCGCAGGGCCAAAGAATTCTCCCACTTGGGATGGTCCCGGAGAAACCAAGCTTGGTCAGGGTAAGAACTCACCTCGATAACCATCACTCCTCACTTGAAATGTTGTTCTCTTTGTTTCCTTTTTGCTTTCAGCTCAAAACACTGGAATTTCAACTTTGTATAGGAATTCATATGGTGCACCCACCGAAGACATCAAACATAACCAGGTAAAGGACACGCATGCGTTTGTATCCATTTTCCCCTTCGACTCGTGTGAAATAGCCTGGAATTGTAAGAAAATAAATTCACTTCTGCACAACATACATAAAGGATCAAAAAAAAGAAAATCATTTTCCCGGCTGCTCTCCGCTCACATTTAACATTCCATACGTGGGGTGACCTTGGTCATCAGAACAGCCTCAAAGTTGAAAACAAGCTTTGATTTCACTACAGCCACTTGCTCATGGTAGAAAGCAAGTTCTCTACTATGACCCACAACCAAAAGGCTCAAATATTCAAAGGTAAGAGTCTGGTTAGTAGACATACTGTGTTAATTACTAGACAGGGATTAGGGGGTCTGTATATGAGACCCCAGACAGTTCTCATATACAGTTCGTTATACATGATGGTTTCCAATATAATAGAGACACCAAGTACAATAACTAACAGCGAAATAGGGTACATTGAGGAGTTCCTTGTTCTTCAGTCCAGTTGGGGAACCAGCAGCATCAGCACCATGTGGGAGCTTGTCAGAAATGCAGAAGAGTTTCTTGTCTGACCCTTGCCCCTAATCCATCCTGTGCAACAAATGCATCAGAGCTGCATTTTATCAAGATGTTTAGGTGATTCGTGTGCATATCCAAGTTTGAGGGATGCTAGCATCCCTTGAAGGAGCTCCTTCAAGAAGTGCTTTAAGTTTATGTGTGTTTGTCTTGTTTGGGACACATTCACTGAAGGCTCGTGTTCCCTCCGGTTGTGGGGGAGCTATCGAAGCAACATACATCTGTCCCCTGTAGTGATCATGACAGAAAGATGGTCATTTCTCACCACTGTTGGCTACTGGAAACCACTGCCAGAGCTGGCTTCTGCCATGCTCTCAATTCCTGCCACCGGTCAGGGAAGTTGGGCTGGAAGATAAATCTGAAATCTGTTTGTTTAATCACAATAAACAGATGACACGGAAGTCAGGTGTGCTGTTTTTAAGCATTTCTCAACACCCTGTGGGGCAGCATCTTTGAAAAGGAAAGGGACACTCTTCTAGCCGATAGATTATCTTGTGCAGGACTATTTCCGAAAGAAAGAGGAGGACACAAAAAGTATCTCCTCAACCTTAAATTACCTTTTCCTCTAAGCAGCCATCAGCAGCAGAAATGGAAATGGGTAGACCAGTTATCCCTTTGCCCTCAATGTTCCAGGCCATGCTCAGCCACTCTGGAAGACATCTGGTGTTGTTTGCAAAAACCGGTGAATGCCCAGGCCCCGCAGCACACCTGACACATTGCTAACATCTACTTGGCCTCCCTTAGTTCCGGTCTTTGCTAAAAGCAAAGAGGTCAATGAATAAATAAATAGGTGCATGAGCACGAGACATGGGATCACCAGGGGTGGCCATGAGCTCTCCCCATGTCAATGTGCCTGCCTAAACACAAAGGAAAATGGAAACAAACTGTATTGGAAATGCTAACTTCAGTTATGGAAACCAACCCTTATCTTTTAGCAAATATCAGGTACAGTGGAGAACTGGCTGTAACTCTTAATGGTACTTGTTAGGATGTGATAGGACCCTGATTTTGCATCCAGGAGTATAGGAAGAGTCTTTAGTTTCCTCAGGTTAGGAGATGCTCATCACGAGAATTGACATATTCTACACCGGCCTTTCTTTCCATGGGATTCCACTATCATTGGCAGCGAAGAAATGTCCTGGTGTGGCCCAGAGGTCCTTGGCATCTTACAATGTGGCTGCAATCATTTCCTAACACTGCTTGCAACCTAGATTTATAGGAAAGTCCACAGTGACTCTAAGGGACAGTTCTTTTCTCCTGAGTCTGTTCTGAACAATTAAGCCAATTGGCATTAATGTGCTAAGATGGCATCCCAGCCAGGAGAGAGAGCACATGTGGTGTAGTCTTTTTCCCAGCATGCCCCAGAACACACTCAGCCTCAGTGAGAACTGTCAAGGCCACCGTGCCCCCAGCAAATGCTGGAAAACCCAGCCAGGATAGCGTGCACGCTCTGCACCACTTGACAGCACACAGGAAATGCTGTAGACAAGCCACTGGTTGAGCTGAGTCCCATGGTGATAGCTCAGTGCTGTCATTATTCCCTGAGCAAGTCCATCAAAGGGAAGTAGATGATGGGACTATTAACCCCATTCTAATTTCAAGCAGCAATTAAAAATATCCACCGGAACGAATTGTTTTTTCCCTAAAAAAGTTTCAAGTGAATCAGTATGACTGTTTTACTGGAAACTCCAGTAGTACTCGAATCAACTTTGTCTCTGTTTTGAGGTATGACCATCCTACCCATTCACAAGAGGAGGAGACTCGGTTCACTTCCAGTTGGGTAGTTCTAGAGACACCCTTGTACAGAGCCTATACGATTTGTATTTTCTGGCCGTGTGGACATGGCTAGTCATTCCAGATGGGTGGAATGCTTTCATTTTTGGAATTTTCCTGGGTTAAAAGTGACCTCACAACCTCATAGCTAGTATAAGACCAGCTTGAATAATTTAACCAGGAGGGACGGGCCAGAGTCTGTTCCATTTCCGTGCTGAGGCTTGCCCTCTGTGGAGTGCTCTAGTCTCCTGGGTGTCTCTGTCACACCAGCTGGGCCTCATAAGCTTTACAGAGGAGGCTGGACAGCGACTCATCTCCAAGAAGAAGCAATTCGCTGAGGGAAACTGGTTTGAGGTAAGTCTCCAAGAGGCGACAAAGACAGTGAGAGCTGGGAATGAGGCCCCAGCCCCAGATGCATTGGCAGGCGAGGCAGGGTCCATGGTAATAGCCGTAAGCCAGGCTTTCCATGACTCAGTGGACAGGGAGCCAGGTGGCTGCTCAGCTGTGTCACTCCCCATGAGACTACCTGGGATTCCAGTCTCATTTCCACTGAGTTTCAAGCCTCCTGGAAGAAATAGCCACTAGTCTGAAATAACATCTGTGGTCCTTGGTTTTTGTATCTCCAATCAACCGATTGCAGACATCATTTTAAGAGTTAACTACTTAAACTCCCCAAAAATCCTACTGAGCATCTACTAGTCTGTCACATCCTTATAAAGAAAAATATCATATTTAACTGCATTTATCTATCTAGAAACAGGATTTTTTGTTCATTAACTAGGGACAAAGGGATTTGGTGTTCTGGTGACCACCATTCAAATGATTACTTTTGACATCAAAACACCATCTTGAAGTCCTGGTTGATGTCCTCAGTTTCACTGCCAGGTGGGCAGAGCAGGTAAAGTTGTCCTCAGAGATTCAAGGAGAATAGGGGTTTGCTTGTGGTCACCCAGCAAACTCAGAAAAGGCAAAGACTCTCACTGCGTTCATCTGCCTTCTTGTCTCACTAGCTCTCCTCTCTACCAGTGGTTCTCAAATTTGAGCATGAGCCAGAATCCCTTGAACAACTTACTAAACACACATTACTGGCACCCCCCACACACACACAACCCCAAAGCTTCTGACTTGGTAGTCATCTGCATCTCTAACAAGCTTCCAAGTGATATTGATGCAGCTGGTCTTGGAACCAGATTTTGAGAACCGTGAATCCTTACCACGTGACCTCTTTCAGTGTCTATTAACACTCTGAGTCTTTAACTTTCGCCATGTGGTCAAGTTTGAAGATCTGTAACACGCAGCTATTTCCCTTGTGTTAGAAAGAAATCCCGGTTGTAGACAAGCTCGGTGAGGAATAAACAAAGTTTTCCTCACTGTGCTAACAGAATTGGGAGGTAGAGAAGTGACACTACCCGTCATAACTTAAACTAAGCATTCTCCTATTGAGGAAAATGTTCAGCAAAGATGATTTTATGGGGGCAGGACCCACAGGACAGAGCCCAGTCTCCCCATGTAAGCCAGCCAGTTGCACCTCCCCTGCCCAGGAAGGACGCAACCTTAAGGCCACAGCAGACATCCTCAGGCTCCTTGGTTGTGCCATGGCCTCGCTGAGCCACGACAGACACTCAAATTCAGAATACACCATTGTTGTGTATGAGCATCATTCTACTTCCTTCATAGAAGTCTGCTTTATGCAAACAGTGAACGTAAAAAAAAAAATGCATTTATTTTTAGCTCTTCTAGGGGGACGGCTTATATTTGGGAGCATTTTATCTGTCTAGTTTTGAATACTGTCAGATAATCCCTTAGAGTAAATTATAAAATACAGCAGACATTGCTCCGCTGTGAATGTGCATCCACAGTCAGCATCTGCACCACGAGGCCATTGGACAAATTTAATCTCTCCAAACACAGCAGTGCCACCCATCACCCATCCTGCACAGTTCCTTCACACACACTCTCAGAACCACAGAACTAATTCTTAAAAGAGGTTGACAAGAGACTTTATGACCAACACAGATGAATTGAAGAGGGCGATTCCTCAAGGGAAGAGACTAAGATAAACTTGCGCCCAATCTAAAAACGTCCGCCAACCAGAGAGAACATGGCAACAGTAAGAAGTTTGAATCAGGTTGTGCAAAAGCCTGAAAGCATCAGGCACTGTGGAGGAGAGCCTGTGAGAGATGCCCCTGCAGATCCCCCCATCTCTGGCCACTGAGACCAGCAAAAGACGTGAGACTTCTTCTAAGGTTCCTTTTGTTCCCTGGCCTCCCTTCTCATTATAGAGACTGGGGTCAACTCAGTGAGGCTGGCCCTCAGGTTTGGCCAATTTGGCTCAACTGAAACTGTTTGTGTGGTGGAGACAATGTGGACTTCCGAATCAGCCAGGCATGGACTCACACTCCAGTGTCACACCGCCATGAGCCATGACATCTTGGAGGAGTTTCTTAATTTCTCTGAGCTTCAGAATCTTCATCTATAAAGTGAGAATTGGATGGATGGATGGATGGATGGATGGGAAGACAGGGAAAGGGAAATACGTGATGAGACAGATAGAGACATATACATACATATATACATGTTTCTGACTATCTGAAGGTTGAACAAAGAGGAATTTGTTAAATGTTGGGTATAGTGCCCACTGACATAAAAGCAGAGTTCATTCTTGTCTCCTCCCCCTGTGATTTTTCTAGATCTCCCAGCTCCTACTCTTTGTAAGCTCTATGTTTAGGTAGTAGCACAGTGCTGGAGCACAGAAGTTCAGCATAGCACACAGCTCTTCAAAGAAAAGCAAAGGACGCCTCAGCCTAGCCAAGCCATTTGGTAGACCTGGCCTTGTTTAATTACAGATGATGCAGATTAATTCCAAATGTCCCCCTCGTGGGCAGGCTCTCAGGCTAACATGTTTTGAAGGCAGCCCGAAACCTTGCTCACCAGCCACCGCTAACGAGAAAGAAATGTGGGACATAGTGGATGGCAGCCATGATGAAGAACAGGTCGATTACTAGTGTAAATCAATTACATGTAAAAGAGGGAGCTTCACGTACTTGAGAGAAGAATTACGTGCAGGTCATTAGAAGCATTCATTTACATACAACGTGCTAATTACCAGTCATTATCTATTAACTAGGACCAATTTCTATAGGATGTTTCCATGCTGAGCTTTAGTCAAATTAATAGGGAATTACTGAATCTGCTTGGAGGTGATCCTACTGTGTTTCTTTAGAAGTGTTCTAGCATTCACACCAGACCTCCTCCCCAGTGACTGCACATGAGCAAAGCTTCGTGCGTGACTGTGTGCACAAGCTGTGGGGAGGTGCCACTCACTTCAGGGGTATAGTGCTAGAAAATGGACCCCCGAGACGGTCAGGAGGGAAGAGGAGAGCCAGCCCCCTCCCCCTGCCCTGCCACCACGTACAGGTGTTAATTATCAGCCCATGAATAGTCTTGGTCTCACTGTCCTCAAAGCCAAAGAGGTGGAACTACTCCTGGACTTTACATAGCTCAGAGGCTCATGTGACCGCTCTAGCTTTTCAAAGCCTCCTACATCAGACAGCAATGTGCAAAGGACAAGAAGGCCAACAAAGAGCATGGAGGTGGGCTGAGGGATAGGAGACACTACTCAAGACCCCTGCCCCCAACTAAAAGCTTCATAATCCTATATCGTTCTCAAGTTCAATCAATTCTTACGTAAACCAAGATGGGAAATATTTTCGTCCTCCTGAATATGTGATATTTGGAGTGGATTCCCTCTTGTCATTACATGCTTCTCTGTGCAACCTTTTGATCACTTAGGCAGGTGTGATGGAATGGCCCTACCAGTGGGAAGCCTCCGTCCTCCGGAGAGGTATTGATTACAGCCCACTGAGCGGGTAGGAAGATACCCAAGTGACCATTAGACCCCATACATCTTCACTGTCTCTTTCTCTGGGAGGCCAACACCTAGATGTAACAGAAAAGAAATGCAGAAAAGAGGAAGATCAACTCTTTATGTTCTATAGCTTCTCATGTATGCCTCTTTAATTTAAAAGGTTATCTAGTAAAATGTTCAGCTGTTGTGGTAGTTTGGCAATTCCTTGAAGAGTCATACATCAAATTATCAAAAGATCTAACAATGCTACTTCTAGGTACATTACCCCCAAATTGAAAGTAGGGACTCAAATACTGGTGCACCAACATTCCATCATAGCGTTATTCACAATAGCGAAAAGGAGCAAACAACCCAAGTGTCCATCAACAGATGAATGGATAAACAAAAAAGTACCCATCCCATAGAACATTGTTCAGCCTTAAAAAGGAAGGAAGTCCCTTCTCGTGCTACAACATGAATGGCCTTTGAGGACATTATGCTAAGTGAAAGGAGCCAGACACTAAAGGACAAATATTATATAATTAGACCTATGTGAGGTGTCCAGAATAGTGAAATTCAAAGAGACAGAGAGTAGAACAGTGGACTGCCGTAGGCTTGGGCAAGGAGGGACATGGTGAGTTATGCTTAATTGGTCCAGAAATTCTGTTTGAGGTGATGAAAAAGTTTTGGAAATGGGGTGTCTGGGTGGCTCAGTCGATTAAGTGTCCAACTCTTGATTTTGGCTCAAGTTGTGATCTCACAGTTGGAAAGTTCAAAGCCTACTGATGGTGCAGAGCCTGCTTAGGATCCTGTCTCTCCCTCCCCCTTCCCCCATTATGTCTCTCTCTGAAAATAAATAAACTTTTCAAAAACGTTCTGGAAATGGATAGTGGTGATGGCCACACAGTGCCATGAATATACTTAGTGCTACCAAATTATACATTTAAAAGTGGTTACAATGGGGCGCCTGGGTGGCTTAGTCGGTTAAGAGTCCGACTTTCGCTTAGGTCATGATCTCGTGGTTCGTGGGTTCGAACCCCGTGTCGGGCTCTGTGCTGAGTGCCAGCTCAGAGCCTGGAGCCTATTTCAGAGTCTGTATCTCCCTCTCTCTCTGACCCTCCCCTGCTCATGCTGTCTCTCTCTCTCTCTCTCTCCTAGAAATAAATAAAAATATTTAAAATATAAATAAAGTGGTTACAATGGCAAATTATATGTTAGTGTATGTTTTACTACGGTCATAAATTTTTTAAAAGATTATGTAGATTGCTAGTGGTGGACCCAGGAACCAACATGTAAGAGGAAGGGCACCCAGCAGTTGGCGGTATCTGGAGAGGCGCCATGCTGGTGGATGCGTGGCTGGGTGGAGCCCAGCCCTTAACAGGGGAAGCTTGAGCGCCTTGGCCACGGGGAGGCTGCGTCAAGGGAAGGCGAACCAGCCCAGGTGCATCTTCTTTTCTGCGCAGGTCCCAGCACAGCCAGTCCCACAGGAGCCCAGCAGGAAAGATTACGAGACGTACCAGCCGTTTCAGAATTCCACGAGAAACTACGACGAGTCCTTCTTCGAGGACCAGGTCCACCATCGCCCTCCCACCAGTGAGTACACCATGCACCTGGGACTCAAGTCCACCGGCAACTATGTCGACTTCTACTCAGCTGCCCGTCCCTACAGTGAACTGAACTATGAAACGAGCCACTACCCGGCCTCCCCCGACTCCTGGGTGTGAGCAGTGGGCGGCACGAGGCGCTCCGGGAACAGTGCATGTGCATGCATACCACAAGACATTGCTTTTTTTTTTTTTCTCCCCCTGCAAATTTAGTTTGTTCAAGCCTGTTCCATAGGAAGGCTGTGATAACCAGTAAGGAAATATTAAGAGCTATTTTAGAAAGCTAAATGAATTGAAAGTTAACTTGAAAGTCAATAGGAAGCTAAAGCGATCCTAAATATGACATCGTGCAACCCCTTTCTAGTTTGAGCTGTAGAGTATAAAAAGTGCTTTATATTGAATGTGGCTGAAGGCAGCAGAGGAGACGGTCGGGGTGGTGGGGTGTGAAGGTTACCGTTAAGCACAAGGGACAGTGTAGTTCACACACTTTAGAGGGACGGCTTCTCACGCTTTGTTTACTCTCTTCATCCGTTGTGATTCTAGGCTTCAAGTTGCATTGGGGTTCCTCTGTACAGCAAGATGTTTCTTGCCTTTTGTTAATGCATTGTTGTAAAGTATTTGATGTACATTACAGATTAAAGAAGAAAAGCGCGTTGTGTATATTACACCATGCGGCAGTGTTTCCTCATCTATGGTTCTAAATATTGCTTCAATTTCAAACTTTTGAAAGATGTATGGATTTCCAGTTTTTCTTTTCTTTTCTTTCTCCCAGTATGTTTTAACAAAAAAAATGGGGAAAAAAGGAATATTTAGCAGTATTGTTCGTTCTGATATGTGAATTTGTTTGTGGCAAGTAAGCAAGGCATTCAGCAGTTTCTGACAATTAACATACATCATTCCACACTCCTTGTCAACAAAGTGCTTTTTCACTGCCTAAAATTTTAGATGTAGATATTTGAAATAGATTTTTTCATTTATACCAGTTTTCTTTATGATGATACAGTGTTAAAAGAAAATAAATTACAATTGATCTGTCATCCATATTTGCTAAGAATGTCTATTTCCAAGGACCCTATCTTATAAAATACACATTCTTGCTTGTGTGTCTGTGCGTGTGTGGGTGTGTGTATGTCCACGTATGTATAAAAATGACCTGTGTGAGATTTTATTTTGATAGAAGCTATTTCATTTGCTGTCCATCTTGTACAAGCTTTGTTTCTGGTTTTTGGTATAAATGTACATCACTTTGTTCTTCTCGCACTCCATCAATCCTTCTGACCATCTAGTGACTCAGGATATTAGGCCAGTTGAAGTGAAGTTATAGGACTTTTCACACATTCACACATTCTTGGATATCACTTCTTTCTACAGGTATATTTCCTTCCATGTTTTACGCCCTGGGAACACAATAAACCATGGCCGACTCAATAATTTCACTCTGGGGCCAATTACTTGAAGTATCAACAGGAAATGTAAACTGCTCACCTTATTACCCCCAAACTTTCTGTTCACGTGGCAGGGAGCAGTGGACCATTATGGGTTAGATTATTAAAACTGAACTTGAAGCCAATGTTAGAATAGTGGTTAACAGAGCTAAGAAATAAGGCTAACCATTTACAAGAACACGGGCTGTGGGTAAATCAGCTTTGCTCTTTAGATGCAAGTGACTGAGGCCAGTAGGTGCCTAGTAAATGTTAACTGTTCTTGGAAAAAATAAAAATTAAATAACAAAAGAAATTGGCTGCCATCTTCCTTTAAAACTTGCTCCCCTTCACTCTGCATAGTTGAATTCAGCTCAAAGTCCAAAATCAGTGGTTCTTTCTCCAAACTTCACAACCAAAAACTTTTGTTGTTGTTCAGGTGGATTTTTGCAAAGGAAAAGCTGATTTCCAGAATAGAGCAGGAGACACAAATTTACATCTGAACTGTCCTGTAAGTTACCTGCAAGGTGGATCCTGTTGCACTGTTTATCTAGGGCTCTGAATTTGTGGGTTCCCTCACAGGAATGCTCCAGCCCCTGTGGAGAGAGAGTTAGCACTGAGCACAACGCGTCCACTTCACTAGTGAAGTTCATCGAGGCAGAGTCATAGACATGACTCATCCATAACCTAGTAGCTGGTTTCCCTTTTCCTAAAGTAAATGATAGGACCCCTTCCTGGCTTGAGTTGTGCACAGGGAAATTACCGCGTGTGCCAAAACGCCCTCTTAGTGGGAACTTTGTATTTCCCTTTATACTTTTGAGTCCGAGCATTCCCTGCATTTGCAGTCTGGGAAGACCAAAGACGCCTCTGCTGCCCATGATTCTTTGACAGCACATTGTGCCAGGCTGGGACAGGCCAATTCAGCCAGGAGCCTCTGGCTTCAGAGGTAGAGGCAGGAAAGAGAAAATTAGAAGTGTTTGTAGTTATTCAAACCAATCCTATTCTCCTTTTCATAGACACACGCATGCACACACACATACAGAGAAGTAAATAAGGAGAGAGTGAGAAATGATTGATAGATAAACAGAAGATGATGTAGCTAGATGATGATGATTGATTGATGAGAGACTAGATAAATGATAGATAGATAGCAGATAGGTAGGTAGGTAGATAGATAGAGAGATAGATAGATAGTTAGATAGATAATAGATAGATGATATTAGATAGATGGTAGATAGAGATAGATAGATAGATAATAGATGATATTAGATAGATGGTAGATAGAGATAGATAGATAGATAGATAGATAGGTAGATAGATAGATAGATAGATAGATGATAGATAGATAGATACTACATAGATAATAGGTAGGTAGATAATAGATAGATGAGATTTTACATAAACTGTGAAATGATCTAAAGTCCCCATAAGCTCCCTTGGCAACAAACATTGATCATCTGATAATTTATTATCAAATTGGATAATACTGGATAAAAATCCCCAAGTGACAGGAAACTTTGATTTGTTTTTGCTTTCATTGTACTGAAGTGACCAAGTGTGACACCACCACACCACCCCAACTCCCCATAGATAGCTGCCTCTTGGGTCTGCAAGAGCCTCCAGACGTCAGATTATTTACTGAGATGGGAATGGTGTTTTTCAGGGCAAAGGAAGGAAGAACGGAAGCTGGAATCTGTTTTTCCTCTCCATCTTTGTAGTGGACATACATATGCCCAAGGCATTTAATAGTTTGTAAAATCTGGACATTATGTATGAAAATTAGACGCGGGTCTTTTTCACTTGAGAGTTTTGATCGAGTGACTAAGGGACCCTTAAAACTATACCACCTTGAATGCTGCTTATATTTGAAAATAAGATATTTTATATTGACTCAGGTTTAATACCACACATTTATGCCTTAATCCAAATGATCAATTGTGAGTTAGATGATAAAATTCCAAACAGGCTCATAAGAAGTAGAGTGACACGGATATCACATCACACTCGGTGCAAACTGGGGAAAGTTAACCACTGATGCCCCATTTCATATGAGCAAGACTCACACATTATGGAAACCTACTGTTTAAAAAAAAAGTGGTGTTTAAATTCAATAGCAAAATAAATCTAATTTATTTGGTTTGCTCATTTCTCTGACTTCAGCTCTTCTTTAGGGCCTGATACTGACCCCATCCTTGAGAGCTGTGCCCTTGAGAAGTGAGGTTTGGCTGTCTGAAGACACTGAGTATTTTGTTTGGAGAACCAGTTTCCTTCTTGTCTGGTGATTCTGTCCCTCCAGAGGGAAGGTGGCAACTCTCAGGTCAGGATCTTCATGAAAGTGCACTGGTCTCCATTCCTTCCAGAGAGCTTGTTAGAAGAACTTACACACATCACCTCCTCTCTAGGAAACATGTTGTTTTGTAACCTGCAGAGTTAAACAGAAAGAAGGATCTGGGGTGGGAGGGATGATCCTTGGCCATACGAAGTTGAGAGATTAAGGACCTCCAGTTTGTTACAAACAACAAGCCTCCCAAGTGATGAGCTCATGTTCTCCAAACAGAGAACTAGTATGAGTACCCAGTACAGGACTGACAAGGCGGGCACGTGACCTCCGTGTCTTCTCCAGTTCAATAGTAAACAACCAGGCTGCACCTACTGTCTCCTCAAACACAAAGAATGAAGTAGTTAAAAAAAAAAAAAGCAAGCAAACCAACCAACCTCTCTGACCATACTAGGTAGTGGTGAAAGCGGGGTTTTGAATCAACGGTTTGATCCACAGTTAAGACAATGTAATTCATGGCATGAACTTCAACAATGACTACATGAGCATCACACATTTAAACTTTTTCACAATATTTCATTGGTTTGTCAATAAAATGAAGACAAAAAGAGGCGCTTGGGTGGCTCAGTGGGTTAAGCGTCTGACTTGAGCTCAGGTCATGATCTTACGGTTGTGGGTTCGAGCCCCACGTCATGCTCTGTGCTGACAGCTCAGAGCCTGGAGCCTGTTTCAGATTCTGTGTCTCCCTCTCTCTCTGACCCTCCCCTGTTCTTGCTTTCTCTCTCTCTCTCTCTCTCTCTCTCTCTCAGAAATAAAAAAATGTTTTTAAAAAATTTTTAAAAACTGAAGACAAAATCCTTGATGAATACTTTGATGAATACCTGGCACTCTGTATTAGATCATGCATACGTAACCAAGACACCACCGCAGGGTGGTGCTGAAACTTGTCATGACAGATGATAGAAGATACACATAATACCGTTGAGTTTCTCCACCAATGCACTGTGGATGTTTGGGGCTGAATAATTCATTGGGTGTGCAAATGAGATGCAGTGTAGGATATTCATCAGTATCTCAGGCCTCTACCCACTGGATGCCCATCACACCACCACCTGCAGTTGTGACAGTCATAACAGCCTCCAGATATTGCCAAATGTCCCCTGGGGCAGGGCTATATCAGCCCCAGTCAGAACCACTGTTCTAGTGCAATGCACAATGTACCAACTACAACTGGGCGCAAGGAAGTTGAAAAAGGTGCACTCCCAGGTGGGTGATCTGAGAACAAAATGCAGAGGAGGTGGTGTTAGGCTGGAACTTAAAGGACAGATGGGCTTCTGATGAGCAATATTGGAGATGTTTCTGGAAAAACACGAATGAAGATGTGGGAAGTATAGGGAATGGAAAGGGAACAATATGCAACAAAATTAATTCTGAAATGAGGAACAGGAAGAGCAGGGAAAGGGAGACAAGGTGGGCTGTGAACAAACTTGAGGCTCCTGAAAGTCATTTTATAGAAACACTAAAGATTTTTCACAGCATCTTTACACAAATTCTGGAGATGTGTGGTAGTTGTTAAGGTAAGGTCTAGATCACCCAGCAATAGCACTGCTAGGAATTTACCCAAGGGATACAGAAATGCTGAGGCATAGGAGCACATGTACCCCAATGTTCATAGCAGCACTCTCCACAATAGCTAAAACATGGAAAGAGCCTAAGTGTCCATCAGCGGACGAATGGATCAGGAAGATGTGGTTTATCTACACCATGGAATACTACATGGCAATGAGAAACAATGAAATCTGGCCATGTGTAGCAACATGGATGGACCTTGAGGGTGTTATGCTTAGCTAATTAAGTCAGGCAGAGAAGGACAAATATCATATGTTTGCATGTATAGGACGATTAAGAGGAACTTAACTGGGGACCATGGGGGAGAAGAAGGGGGGAAATGGTGGGGGAAAGAGAGAGAGGCAAGCCATGAGAGACTCTTGAATACTGAGAAACAAACTGAGGACTGATGGATGTGGGGGAGAGGGGGGAGATGGGCATGGAGGAGGGCACTTGTGGGGTTGAGCACTGGGTGTTATATGGAAACCAACTTGACAATAAACTCTTTGTAAAAAAAAAAAAAAAAAAAAGTAAGGTCTAGATCAGTGGTTCTCAAACCATGCATCAGAAACACCTGGAAAAAAAAAAAAAAAGGAAACACCTGGAGCATGTCAGTCACCTGAACAATTTGTTCAGACATTGAGTTTATGATTGAATACAGCTGGGACTGGCAGAGAAGTTTCATTTCTAACAAGTTTCCAAGTGATATTGATATTGCTTGTCTGGGAAC